TATAGAACCCTACTATAGGTCCCTTATAGAACCCTTTAATTAAGGCGCGCGCGCCTAAAAAAAACCACCCTGAAGACAAAACCTACAGAGGAGCGGCCGAGGGAAGTGTACAAAAGTGTGGCAGGCGCAGCAAAATCGCACGTTTTGACCTTCCCCAGCGGTATTGTGGCAGAAGCAAAAACGGGACACGATTTCGTGTCCAGTTTTCTGGGCGCCCTAGGCGACCATCAGTGCTATCATCATCGATGTCAACATCGCTATCATCCTCACAGCCACCATCGATATCACCATCATCTTCATCATTCTCATCATCATCGTTATCATCATCGTCATCAATGTGTTGAGCAGTGGGCTTTTTGTGTGCTGGGAAAAGCCGGCCTGAATTTATTCTCCGGACCTGGGCTGCAAAGCTAGTCTTACGGCAGAAGGCGAAAACACTGGTGGGGCCGATGACTTTGAAGGTCGCGGCAAGTTTGTTGAGGTTTGTGGGTGGAAAAGGTATGGGGCAAAAGGTCTTTGCACAGTCACCTTTGCCAGATCGCCAGGTCATCATCATTGCTACCACGATTGTTATCATCATCGTCATCATCATCGTTATCATCATCGCCATCGCCATCGATATCATCGTGACCATCGTAAGTTTCATCAGCATCGTTGTCTTCCTCGTCGTCAACATTTCGAGCGGTGGTTTTTTTTAGGCGCGCAAGCCTTAATTAAGGATCCCTTCAAAGGAACCCTTATTCTAATTGATTAAGGCCCCTACATTGTAGTGCCTTATACATCCCTTATAGTAACCCTTATAGACCCCTTTGAAATAACCCCATTCTAATTTCATTAAGGCCCCTACATTTCCCTATTTGATCTTCGATTGATGGTATAAATCTTGCATGCCCTTGATCCTAGACTACGGGAATAACAGGATATTGCTTATTGTGGGCCCTAAACCCTAAACCCCTTATAGCAGCCCTTATAAACCCCTTTAAAGTAACCCCATTCTAATTTCATTCAGGCCCTTACATTACAGTATTTGCTCCTTCATCCCTGGACCAAGGCTTCAACTTCTTCACGAAATGCGCTTCTCAGCTGGGTGAGTCTCACGATTCTAAACCCTAAAACCCTAAAAACCTGAACCCTAAACCCTCAGAACCTAAACCTTCAACCCTAAAACCCTAAAGCCCTAAACCCTAAACCCCGAGCCTACACAAAATGTAAGGTGGATGCATCTTAGGGCCCCAGGGTATTTTAGACTCCAGCGGTTTCATTTTCATCAGGAAATCATAAACAAAGAACTCCGAGCATAGATCATATATGTAGTGGGGTTTGGGGTTTCTTCAGGGGTGAGTGAGACGGTCTATTTTGGGGTCTGAGGGTTTGGGATCGTGGGCTGATGCTTTCTGCTTTGCCTCCTTCCGGGGTTAGCGACTTCTTCTTAGGAGCTGCAACAGTAGGATCCCCTATAATTTACCTTAAAGGGGTTACGATAATGATATTCCAACTTTCTGGCTTCTACTATATCTGATACTCGACATAACATACTGAACAGCTTAGTAGCTGAGTGAGTGCACTTTACGCTTTGTGGGATAATATAGCCCGTTATAGCACTGAAAGTGTACACCTTTTGGGACTTGAGAACTCAGCAACTACGACAGAAAGCAACAGGGGCTGAGGGTTCACGTAGGAACTGTGCGGCGCGTTTCATGCTTGCAAAGCGCAAGGAGAAGACCAAGACAGCAACGATCCTGATCCGAGGCTTATGGTTTAGGGTTTAGGGGTTTAGAGTTTAAAGGTTTTGTGTTTAGGAGTTTAGGGGTTTAGGGTTTAGGGTAGCTTTCAACATGCAACCATTTGGGGACTTAAGATGGGCCAAAACTAGTAGCATCACAGTTGTGGAAGGACCAGATGCAGTAAGGTCGTAATGGTAGATAGACGAGGAATGCTAAGTTCATTCGGCTAGATAGACCATACAGTACAGGCCATACGTAGTAAGATCTTTCTCAGCGATAGACCATCGATAGTAAGATCCTGCTCGTATGCACCCACGTTGACATGCAGTCCATGTCAGTCAAAGCGGCGGTCCAGGGCGGCTCCGTCTTGCCGGAACTTCTTGTGTATCGCCGGGCCGCTGTTTCACTTGTCCACGTACTTGTAGGTTGGGCCATCTTTGGTCTTAGTTGCCTACCCTAGCGGTTTGGATTTAGTGGCAAGTAGATATCCCTGAACGCTCCCTGTAACTGTAGTATGCTCTATGTCAGAAGTCTCATTCTATTCTTAAGGCCCCGGGTAGGTCCGCAAGTTCAAAGGTCATCATTAAGAAGCCACAAAGCCCCGGGAATCGAGTTTCATTACGCTTGATGCGGTTTTGGAGGGAATCATAAGGGTTAGCGGGATCCGTTGTGTATTGCCACGAAAATGGACTTGAGCAATGCAGGTGGCGCGCAGCAGTTCATCGACGAAGCAGAGCGGTCTTTGAACGACTCCTTGATGACGCCTTCCCTGTTTAGTGGGCTTAGACAGCTTGAGGTTCACTTGCCTGTACGGTTGCTAGTATAACTGCCAAGACTGTTTCTGTAGAACTAGTTGGACTCAGAGTTCACTGTTCTGAATCATCACTGGATGCTAGTGGGGGCAGGTGCCTGTTTCTGCCGTGTCCGTTTGACGAGCTACGCTACACTTTATTTAGTTTGGTTCCTTGGGCTTGCGTCTCCAAAGCCCTCGGGCTTGGGGGGCTGCTAGCCTGCTACTAGCTGCTCAAGACTTTCCGCTCCGTCTTTCATCGGGTTCGTATCATATCGTGTTACATTATGCAGTATTGAATATTGCCTTATGTTGTATCATACTGTACTGCATTCTATTGTATTATGTTGCATTATATAATATTGCATCCCAAACTCAGCGATAAAATATACCAAGCTAAGTTACATAATAATGTGCTCCTAAGCCCTCAAGCCTTCGAAGCCCTGAGCCACAGTGCGTAGCTGCGTTGCTTACCTGCGTGGCGAGAGACCAGGATCGTCAGAAGAGCCATGAAGAACACAAAGGTCGTGGGCGGTGGTGGAGCCGCGTCTTGGAGGAAGCTTAGAAGAGTTTGAAGGCCCGGTATCGAAAGGCCAGGGGTTGAAGGTAAAATGCTCTACCCTAGGCTCCAGTTACCTAAATATGAGGTTACTACCCGTAGAGTATGCACAGTGCTGTAGACCTGGGGCTCCACGTAGCCGGCCGCCTTCTTGCGCTCAGTTGAGTTCATCCCGCGGCTCCTAGTAGTGGTAGTAGTAGTAGTAGTAGTAGTAGTAGTAGTAGTAGCAGTAGGAGTAGTAGTAGTAGTAGTAGTAGTAGTAGTAGTAGTAGTAGTAGTAGTAGTAGTAGTAGTAGTAGTAGTAGTAGTAGTAGTAGTAGTAGTAGTAGTAGTAGTATGAGTATTATTATTATTATTATTAGTAGTAGTAGTAGTAGTAGTAGTATGAGTATTATTATTATTGTAGTAGTAGTAGTAGTAGTAGTAGTAGTAGTAGTAGTCGCAAAGTACTTATGACCATGGGTGTCGGACGTGAGGGTTTAGTGTTTAGGCTTTCAGGGTCTTCACACTGATAGGCGTCATGTCAGAAAAATAAATAAATAAATATATATATATATATAATGAATTTAGAGTTCAAGCTCACATCGCAAAGACCACGCGAAGCCTGCGTAGTAAAAGTTTTGGGTTCGAACTCCGCTCGTTCTCCAGCGAGTTGTAACATGGAAGCCCAGAACATTACCAACACTATTTTTGGGTTCTCTGTTATGATTAAACTATAATAGACTTAGAGCCCACTAATTGTTAAGGCCCCGACGTTACTCTACATCCTCTGGCAAGGTCGAGATGGAGCTCAGCAGATACCTCCGGGAGTATGCGCGGACGATTTCAGGCAAATTTGTTCCGCTGCCGGCCCAATACACACCCTGCGCAGAGAGAAAGAGAGCGAGAGAGAGAGAGAGAGAGAGAAAGATACATATCTATATATATATATATATATATATGTATATATATATGTATATATATATATATATATATACATCTATATATATATATATATGTATATATACATCTATATACACACACACACACCTTGACCAAAACCCCGCCGCACATCCTATCATAGGCCCCTATAATCCCTAAACTCTAGCCTGAACACCAAAATCCAGGAAGCTGGCAAAAACCGAACATCCCAGAAACTTTGAGGGTCTAGGGTAGCTTAGGGGTATAGGGTTTAGGGTTTAGCTTTAGGAGTTTAGGGTCTAGGGTTTAGCTCCCAGGATTTTTTAAGGGCTCCATTAAGAATTCCGTGTCCTGTAAGGGTTGCTATATAGGGGTTTCTTTCAGGGTTCCTTTGAGGGTTCATGTACCGAGGTTTTCTTTATAAACTCCTCTACGGCTTCCTTTGGGGCTTGAGAGATTCCGTTTCAGGTTCCTTTAAGGGTTCCGTTATGGATTTCTAGAAAGTCTCAATCAGTGCAGGGCTGGGATCACCCGAGCAGAATTCCCCTACCCCTCGGATCCTGCAATCCCCTAAGCGTTTGGAAAAGTCGTGGGAGAACGCAGTGCGTAGAAGAGCCTGCCGTGTTCCAAGCCTTGTCAAGAGCTGAATCCCAAAGACTCAGGGGTTGAGGATTTGGCTCCATGAGCAACCAGGCTGTTCAGTGGTACACTTTTTTACTTTCAGGTTTCTGGGTTCCTATCATAAAATAAGAAGCCTAAAAAAGTATGTACTTTTTCGCAGCGGGTTACTAAACAGCTTGGGCAAGCTCTAAACCCAAGTGGACCGAAACACAACCACACAAGCACCACACGCACCAAAGAACAACCCAAAAGCAGACAACATCCCTAAGAAACCCGAAGCCTTAAACCCTAAGCCTTTCGTCGACGGTCACCTTAGGCGGAAAAAGGAGTTCAACAAACAAAAAACCCTAAGCCTCACACTTTGGAGGCAAACAGCAGCTTGTCATCAACTACTTCGCCCGAGCGCTCGAGGCCCTGTTGCCCCAGATTTCGCTGCCATAAGGGCCTCGGAATATAGGTTTAGGGTTTAGGGCGTAGGATTCGGGGTCTAGGGTTTTAGGTAAGGGTTTCTGGTCTCGGGGGGGTTTGCGATGTTTAGCAGGGCTTGGGTTCAAGTTCAGGCTTGTGGACTTCAATTTCGGGGCCATGCCTTGAAGATTCAGGATTCTCGTGCTCATCCTCGGGCTCCAGTTTCTTGAATGGTAGGTTACTAGCCAATAGAATCTGTAACCCTACGCCCTAAACCCCAAACCCTTATGAAACCTTGAACCCTAAACTCCTAAACCCCTAAACCCTACATCCTAAACTTGGAAACCCCACAGCCAATTATTCAGGTAAATGGGGCCCCAGGGTTCTTTTGCTTCACCGATCCTTGGCGTTCACGTAAAGGGAGGGCCATGGGTTATTCAAAGGGGGTTCAGGCGGGTTCAGGGCTTTGGGGATGGCTGTCTGAGTGTGAAGTGCAGACAGGTGATCCCCATGACTCTTGCGCAGAACAGCGGTGCAGACGGCACTAAGATGCTGAAGCTTGGCTGTTGAAGAGGGCGTAGGGTTTGGGGTCGGGGGCTTCTGGGTGTATACTGATCTGATTACGGCGAACATCCGCCTTTCTGTAAACAGCCAAGTGGTCGAAGAGGAGGAAAATAGTGTTATGATTCTTCGGCCTGCAACCCTATACTAGATATTCCAGCCCGTATTGCCTGTACATCCCAGCTGGTAAGCTCTTTGACATGACTCGCAACTCGCTCGTGCGTGAGGCTGAACTCTTCGTCGCATGTCCAGTCGCTCTGCAATCAGTTCAAAGAATTTCGCTTTAGGACTTTAGGGTTCTAGGGTTCAGCGTTTGAGGGTGCAAGTACACGTCCTGGTTTGAGATTTGGGGTTTAGCGTTTAAGTAACCTCCCCCACCCCCACCCCACCCACCCGCCTGCAAGAAGACTGACTACTAGAAACCCTTTCCACTACGTAGAGGATCATGGGACTTACTAACTATAGGGTTTTTTTAAGGTAACTATATATATACTTCCATATTGCTTATAGCCCCAATTAAGGTACTTCTATCCATACTTACTAAGTCCCATGATCCTCCAAGTGCGACTCAAAATGGACTGAAAGGAATCAGCTGCGCTCCAAGCACGCTACGGCGGGTCCGGAGGGCCGGTGTTCTGGCCTGGCAATCAGGTCTTAGGTGTTTAGGGTTTAGGGTGTAGGGTTTAGGGTTTGGGGTTTAGGGTTTAGGTGTTTACGGTTTGGGGGATTATTTTTTGTCTGGGGTTTAGGTCTGCAGGGCCTAGGGTCTTGGGATTTAGGTTTGGAGGTTTGCTGTTTTGGAGTTGGGGTTGAGGGTTTATGGTTGTCTTTAGGATTCGGGGTCCCTTCCTCAACGTTCCTTAAAGCAAGCCTGCACTGTTTGCTCGTTGGTATGGCGAGCGTTACCGCATCGGGGTTTAGGATTGCCTGCGAGTACGTCTGTAAACACCTACACCCTAAACTCCTTAACCCTGAACCTAAACTCCTAAACCTCTAAACCCTAAACCCCTAAACCCCTAACCCCCTAAACCATAAACCCTAAACCCCTAAACCCTAAACCCCTAAACCCTAAACCCCTGAACCCTAAACCCCTAAACCCTCAAAGCTTCAAGGGACCCCATTGCAGGCCCGAAATAGGAGGATCCTTCTTCTGGTCCTTCTTGTAAGGAGGGCCCTGAACAGGTACAGTCTGTACCCAGCAGATTTCAGAGCCGCCCCAAGAAGCCCAAGAAGCATAGGTTTTAAAGAAAAACTTAAACATCTTGTTAAAAAGCCTATGGAGCCCGAGGTGGTTCGGCGTCGACTGCATCAACTGCACAGCAACTAGACTGCAGGGTCGGCAGAGGGTCCAAGGAATTCATAATCGGACCGATCAACAGTCTTCCAGCCTGTAGCTGTTGCACAGGCCCTATCCCCGGAATTCGTCAAGATTCTGTCACGCTCTCCTTATGCCTTCAGCGACAAGGGGGCAGTGATTCAGCGGATACAGAGTGTCCGCGCGTTGTGAATGCCACCGCAATGATCATCAGTGGGTGAGGTTTGCGATGCCTTCGAAAGCTACATCTGGGTGCCTTGGCTGCAGCGCACGCTCAGGCAGAGAAAGTGAACGTGAGACTACGACATTTAATCCATAAGGCGCATAAGCCCTTTTGACCCGAACATGTAAACAGAAACCCTTAAACTATAGTGCCTGCAAATGATTTGCTTGGCGCAAAGGCCGAAACTGCAAGCCAGGCAACCTGAACCTTCAGCTAAGCCATCCTTTGCCCATGTGCTAGACCCCTAAAACCCTAAGCCCCAAACCCGACCTTAACCCTGAAGAACCTACCTTTTTAAGGACTTCTATAAGGAAATCATAACAGGGAACCCTAAAAAGGTAGGTTCTTCAGGGTTAAGGGAAACCCTAAACCTCAACCCCCGCGACATTCAGCAGTGCATGCCCCGGAAGTTGAAGTATTGGGATCCTAGCTTAACTACCTAGGTTGGATTTTATTTTCCTTATTTGGGTTTATAATGGACCCTATATATAACTATTTTTCAGGGTGTTTAAAGGCCAACCCAACTACGAAATCCAGGCCCATGCCCTCACCTCTACTTCTCGAAGCCCATTCCCAGTGAGTTCGGCTCTGTGAAGAAGCCCGGGGATAGCCTAGACCCTCCTTCTACCCTCTATTAGACCCTAACTACCCACTATCAGGGACCATATACCCCTATTTGAGGATACAAGGAGGGTCTTGGATCAAACCCTATAAACCCTAAACCCTAAACCAAACCGTGGAATAATTTCAAAGCTTCGCCACCCACAGGAGCCGGTTCTTGTGAAAGAGAGTGCGATCAATGCAGCGACCGAGGCCATACAGGGTTTGGGAGGCGGTGTTTGCGCAGGCTTGAACTATATATAGTACTTGTTGAGATCCGGGACCTTCATGGTGGTTGTAAGCGATTTGTGTTGTTCTTGCTTGATCTGCATTTGACCTGAGTTGGGATTCAGGGTTTATTTAGCATACTTGCTCATGGCCTGCAGCAAGCTGCGAAACCTTCAAAAATCCACACCAAGGTCAGACATGACGTTTGTAGCAAAAGGCGTCTGTGTTATATTGGTCCAAGAGCCCGGAAACTCTGTAGTACAGATCCTGCATGAAGAACATATGGGTGGTGGTCAAAACGGTACTTTTTTGGGTTCCCTGAATGTTGGGTGCCGTATTTCTATAAAGACCCCAAAAGGGACCCTAATATTGACAACCACCCATATGAAGAACCCATTCCCGCAGCTTCAGAGAACTAACTTCTGAAATCTGCTATCTGGCACCACAGCTCACAGTTTCCTGGCCCGGCATGGTGTTGACCGCATGTGCTAGAATCCGGCAGAGCAACCGGTCCCATTCCACTTCCTGAAGGACCAAGTGACCCTTAGAAGTAGGGGCCCCATGCCCATATACTATGAATCCCTATATGGTATATGAACCTTAAACCCTTTTAGGGTTCATTTCGTCCTTAAGGTTATGGTCCGGAAGGCTACCTATTCATGCTTCAGTCTCTATATGGCCGTAGACTTATATCCCAGGAGGACCTGAAGCCATAGGCTCGCTTGTAGAAGCCCAAAACCATACAGACACCTTAAACCGAAAGTTGAGATTCCCATCCTCCCGAAGGCTCTGTGTCTCCTGTGCTAGACTGGGTTCTTGTTCAACGGCACCATGACCAGTAGCATCTCACTCGTCTGGTATGAGATCAACTTCCATGGAACCCCAAACCCTACAGACCACCAAAGTCCTAAACCTTGAACCGGATTGCTACCCACACTCCGCCACGAGGGCTCGAAGATCCCCTGCACTCTATTTTAGGGTTTCTTCAAGGTTCCTTAACATGGTTATAGTAGAAGTTATAGTCTATAACATACCCCGGGCATAGCTCCTATTCTACTTGTGAAGGCACCTATATTAGACCACTTGCCAGTAGCCTGCCACGTTGCATCCTTGTCCCTGCACTTAGCCTGCCACGTTGCATCCTTGTCCCTAATTGCGGAACAAGAAGGCAAGACAGACAAACAACACAAATTTTGTAGAACCTAATGAAAGGCCTGCATGGGATGCTTGTTATGTCGAACCCGAACCCTAAGGGTCCAAGAAGTCCTCATTTTTTTGGAACCCAAAGAGTCTTGAGGCCGCTTGCCTCATCCTCTCCATTGACGAGCTGCTTGGCTTCAGTTATAGGACTCAGGTCTTTAGAGGGTCTCTGACTCCGGGGGCTCATGGTGTTGAATCTTGCGCTCAATTCAGGCTTAGCTCAGGGGTCATATGGCATGGTTTACGCGAAATATGTGCGACCAAGTAAGTAGCAAAGCAATCCCTGTAGAGTTCCTGTATACGCGTACACACAATTACACGCACGAACCCTTGAGGCCCAAGTGCGGTGGGACGGAATATGCTTCTAGCAAAGCTGTTGCTGTTCGAGTCTTGGAGTAGTGCTGAAGCCTTTGTCCGTGTAGTCTACTTATAGTAGAAGCCAGAAAGTTGGAATATGATTATCGTAACCCTTCTATGGTAAATTTCTGGGTATCCTACCATGAATCCATATTCCAACTTTCTGGAGCTCCCTGTAAGGCCAAGCTTGAACTCCCCTGAACCCAGAACCTCTGCAGCACCCAACTGCAAACCCTAGGCCCTATAGTTTCTGTAGCCATAAACGGGCCGATACAACATTTGCAGCTGTCCAGTGCCGCCATTTCGGTGCCCCCCTTAAAAAGAAGAAGCCCCAATCTTAGCTCGTCCTTCGAGACTTGGCCGCTGACATCCTAAGGACCGTCAAGAACCCCCAGAGCGAAAAGCCCCAGGGGGGCATGCCGGGCATGGGTAAAGGCAAGGGCAAGGCCCAGCGGCGGGTGAGTGAGGGCCGGGGCTTCGGGTTCAAGGAGTTTAGAGTTTAGGGTTTAGGGTTTAGAGTTTAGGGTTTAGGGTTTAGGGTTCAGGGTTTAGGGTTTAAGTTTAGGGCGGTTTGAGATTTTATCCTGTTGGCTTTGATTGTTCGTACATTCCATTTAGCTTGGCCTGGCTTCACATTCTTCTGTGTATAGAGAGTTGGAGGGGTCTTACGCGTGGTAAGGTGGGGAGTTGGCAAAATTATCCTCGGCGTCGGGACATGTAGCTGCGACAAACTATTCCAACAGTCTTTTGCAGCCACTTCGATGCCGCCGATGCTTCAGACGAGATCCTACCTGCGCGATACATATGATCTTTGCAGTACGTAAGCCCGAAGTTGCCCTGAACCACGCTTTTCGCTTCGCATTGTGGTGAAGAGGTTTGCACCTTGTTTCTACCTGAGCTTTGTGCAGCGGAGACCTCAAAGCTCTAACATAGAAAAGGGAGGAGTTGTCATGGTTGCCCACTGTCCTAGGCTTTACGGTTATATAGGCGATGCCAGTGTCCCTGAGGCCTTGGGGCCCTTCAGTGTTCATGTGGCTTCGTCAAGGCTACATCGTAGACAGCGCTCAACCAACAAACAGCCATGGGACGACACCACTTTCCCAGGTTCTCTGACGCCACTGTTTCTTGTGTTCTCCCAAGGCCTTCATGTAACAAGCATATAGACCTGAGCCCCTCGATCCTCCAGTGAACTGAACACCCGAAGCCCAGCCCCCCGAAGCAGAGCAAACTCCAAAAGCTGACACAAACCCCGAAACCCTAAGCCCCTCCCAAGCCCCCAAAGCCTAAACCCACAGACCCCCTAAACCACTAAAGCCCCATACCCCAAATCGAAGCCCTAAACCGAAACCCGAATCCCCTAAGCCCCAAACCCTGAACCCCCAAACCAGAAGCCTAAACCCTAAGGCCCAAACCCAAAGCCCCAAAACCCGGAACCCGAAACCACCGTGCAAGGGAAAGGGCATGATGGGCAAGGGCCGCGGCCGCGGCGCACGCGTCCTCAAGGGCTGAGAGACGACGCAGTGCCGGGCAGAGCGCGCAAAAAGGAGCGGTGGACATATTTTGGGGTGAACCCATGCAGACACTCCAATATCCCTTAATTTTAAGGAATGTATTTTGAATTAGATATAAGTTTAAGATACATCTCCTGTAATTATAAGGGATCTTGGGGTCTCTGCGTAGGGTTTGGGGTTTAGGGACCGCGCACCACTAACTTGAGCCGCCAACTGATATTCGTCTGGCAGTGGTGATGTCTGGCAGCGGTGATTTAGTTTAATCCTGTTCCGACTGGGCTTGTTTGTGTTTGCCAGGGTGATGCGTGTTGCAGTGTGTATCTCCTGAACATTGAAACTATCCAGAGGCCCCATTGTAGTTCCTTTTTGGGATTACCTCATATGATTCTAAATATGAACGCCAAAAAGGAACTACTTTAGGGACTTAGGGTAGTAATTAACCTAAATCCCTTGGCCCTGAAGCAGAAACCCTAAACCCTATACCTAAAGAAACCTTTGAATCGTATGAGCCCAATACCCCCGAACTAACGAGAGAATGCACTTTCATTTAAATCATATGATGGTAAAATACCGCCGAACTAACGAGGGAATGTACTTTCATTTAAATGGTAAAGTAGGTGCTGTAGGTTCGGCCTGCCCTAACCCTGAACTGCCACGGGGCTTCTTTCGGCGCCTGTCCCTGAAAGTTCTGCTGCAGGAAGTTCTGCTGCAAACTGCAGGGGTCCGCAAGAGCTCTTGACTCCACCGCCACAAACCGCCACCCCATGGTATAATAAATAGAAATGAGAATGAAGAAACATACAGCGAATGATCGTAATACGAATGATAATAATAATTTCAATCTGGGCGCGTCCGAGGTTTAGACATCTTTGGACTAGAAGGCTTTTGTAGTTGCGAAGCTCAGGCGTACGAGTCAAATCTTGCGCATGTCCATCGGAAACGCGGTCAATGGGTCACTGCTCCCTAAATGCTATGTAACTTTTATGCTTCCCCATCCATGCACCAGGAACCTACCATGTAGGTGTACTGGAAAGTTTTGATTTCCGACTAAGGCCTGCGTGGCATGGCCAGCTGATTTTGTGAGCTTCGGCTTCGGGGTCGAGGGTTTACAGGTGTAGGGGTTGTGTGTCCCCCCCCCCCGAAAACCTAGATTTTCTAAAAAGGTAGCCACAGCCCAAAATCGGCAACAAAACTTAAGCACTGACGGCAACACTTTCGCCAACTACATGCTTGAGGAGATGCATGCCCGAACTTGGCAAATCGTAAGCATAGAGCCCGTGAACCATGAAAGCTGCGATACTTGAGACCCTCTAGATCCCAAACCCTAAACTCCAGTAGCTCTGGACCATGTCCTTGCGTTCCATTTGGGACATAGGATATTCCGCCTTCAAGCTTTAGTCCTTCCGCACTCAACCCTCAATCTCCCAAGCCCCTCAACCCTTAAACGCCGAACCCCTTTTGTTCTATGGGCTTCAGATAGTTAAAGAATATTAAAGAATATTGAAGAGCTATGTTACCGAGTACGTCTTTAGCTTGGGAGCCTTCTGTATGTTTGAGACAGGGACGCCTGTCCAAGCTTCTGCAAGCCCCTAGTTCTCCAGTTACGTAAATAGAAGGTTAGTGAGGGGTACAATAGAGATGGTTAGTGAGTTACTATTTTGCCACCAAGAGCTCATTCTTAATGTGGACTGTATTCAGTGCATGCAGCAGACAAACTATGCAGCAGACAAGCAAAATCATGAATCTGGATGCATGCATGATTATACAGAACCCCAGAGCGAGACTGACAAACACGGCACGCCGGCAGCCTAAAAGCTGGGGGTGGGGCTTAATGATTCGAATAGGGCTTTGGCGCGTAATCTGTGTAAACCTTACGGAATGACCTCCTACATCTTGATTTAGTCATTATAATGCTTACGTGTTGGGGGCATTGGGATTAGGCTAGGCGTTGCAGGGTTCAGCTGTGGCTTTGGGTCAGCGTCTGTGGGCGCAGAGTCTTACTCCCCTGCGTGCGGCAAAGAAAAGAGCAGGTCTTTGCCACAAGGAGTTTGCTCAATCCGTTCTCGCTCCCTCTACTTCTCTAGAGTGGGAAGGCTCTCGAAAGCATGGAAGATAGAAGTGAGAACCTTTTCGAGCACGAGGGCAGGTCTAACTAGTGGTTTCAAAGGTTAGTGGCTATGTCCTCTTATTATCCCGGTATATGCGGGTTTTTGGGGCAGAATGTATTTGCTGGTTGGTGAAACCCGAAGCCTTGTTTGGGCTTGTGGCCTTCGGATGCCGCCTTAGGATTGAGGTTGCTAGGTGAGCCGTGGCTAAGCTCTGGGTTGTGACCTTTCCTGCTCTCACGCTCCAGTGGCTGGAAGAACTCACTGATAGATGCTATACCCCTCGAGTGAGTTCTTAAGCCTTGGCTCAGTTGTATACCATTCAGCCGTGCTAAGCTGCAAACTCGAAAGCAATATTGCGAGCGGATACTTCGGATTTGCAGCTTGATGTTGCCGAGGAAGCTTGCGACGGTTCATGTGCAATGTCTAAGGTGGCAGAGTAACAGACATGTATGCAGGAATGTGCCGGGCATTTTGGGGTATTCACTTATGTAGCGATTTGTTTATATGCATAGCTATGTTTTACTGGGAGAGCAGGAGGTCGGCACAGCTAGTTGACATCCGTGTATCGTCCATTTACAACTTGGCTCCAACATCTTCCGAAACCCTGTTCTGCACAGTGGGGCCCTGTAGGACTTTGTAGGGGATGCGTGGGTCCCAACCTATCTAAACAGCAGTATCGGGCTGAGATTTCTCGGCCATGGTACCCTAAACCCCTAAACCCTAAACCCTAAACCCCTAAACCCCTAAACCCCTAAACCCCTAAACCCCTAAACCCTAAAACCCTAAACCCCTAAACCCTAAACCCTAAACCCCTAAAACCCTAAACCCTAAAACCCTAAAACCCTAAACCCTAAACCGTGTCCTAAACTCCCAAAGACCCCTGTAGCGCCAGGAAAACAACAGCGCATGACCGAAGCCCGAGGCTTTCAGCCTGGACTTTGAGCCCCCTAAGCCCTAGAGACTCTAGTCCCATACGCCCTCCCCCTAAGCCCTACCGTGCCTTAAGCCACCAAAACCTACCTTTTTTGTAGGGTCCCTATAGTTTCTACAGTGAAGTATGTAATAAGAACCTACAAAAAAGTGGGGCTCGGTAGGTTAAGGTACAGACCCTAAAAGCACCTTCAGTGCCAGGGCTTGGCCCGGGAACGCTTGTCCATGATCGTGTCCGACTGCGTTTGGAAGGCCCGGGAGGAACTAGGAAGTCCTGGCTTAGAATCAGCCGAAGATGTAAGACCAGGCCTAAACACCCCCCGAACCAGAAAGACTATCCCTAGAACTGAGGTTAGTTAGCTAGATAGTCATCTACAACCCATGTTTTCATGTTGCCAATTTCATGTTAATATATGGTTTGCAGATGACTCTACCGCAACAAACTATAGCCTACTATTGATGTAATTGGAGCCCTGTGGTGCAACAATCATTTACCAAACAAACGGCTCGACTAGAACCCGCAGCGCCGAAGCCTGTAGCAAGTTGGCTTCATGGTTTGGGCTTAACCCTAAGCCCAGCTGCACGGCACAAGCCCCAGACCTACAGTAAAGCGGGGTGGGGGCAGGCTTTCAGTGTTGCACCCATTGTTTAGGGTTTTGTCGTTGGTATAAAATGTAAGGTTTCTCGGACACTAGGCCCCCTAGGTTTTCCCACTCTTTTTCCCGCGGGGTGGGGCGGCCTGTGGGGAATAGAGGCCTCAGTTAGGCTTATGGGGTTATGAAGTGTCACGTTAAGGAGTACATAGTTGGGCCTCTGGGACTACTAAGTGCTAGCATCCTTTCCTTGCACCTTGACGACGTCTACACACACACACACACCTGCAAACATCTTCGCAGCCATCTGCCGGTAGTGAAAAACCCGAAACACGGAACCCTAAACCCAAACCCCAAATCTTTGCACTCATAACCTAAGCATATGAAAGCCCCGACATTACACGGGCACACACTAGCGCTCCGGCGGTCTTCCTTCCTAAGCTTCAAGTTTAGATCACCCAGCATCCACACCCTGAACCCATCCAAAGCTCCAGAGCCCCAAAACCCCTAAACGCTACCAGCCTAACTTTACTAGACCTTGTAGCTAGCGAAAGCTACAAGGTATGCTGGCACGCTTAGTTCCCTGATGCCTTTCAGTCCAGTTTAACTAGTCCCGCACGACGAAGCAACCCGTCACAAAAATGGACCCCCAAAGCCATCAAGGCAAGAAAGCTCGACGCATGGAGATCTGAATACTTAGCAACATTATCCCCACATAGTCCCTCCATTATGGACATGCTCCAAATCGACTCTGAGATCTTTTGGTGCCAGATGCCTGACCTCCCTTCATTTAGCTTTCTGTCTTTTGCAGGTTTGGCTTTGGGCTTCGGGGTGTAGGGTTTAGGGCTGGTAAGGGCTCGGGTATGTGACGGTTGCCAATTAATTACAAGGGTTCCTACAAGAGTGCCTATAGGGCTATAGGGGTTGTTATCAGGTCATCACGAAGGCTACTACCCTCAACCCCAAAACCCTTCTAAGCTGGACGAATTTTCGCTTTGCGTGAGGCGAACCAACTTCGCCAGGATCTTGCGCGCACGGAGCAGGCCAGAGACAGGGGGAGAGCATAAGACTCCACCTTTCCTAAATCCACAAAACCCTCAGATGTTGTGGAAATGTCCTTCACTTGAATTCTCCGTGAGGCGAAACTGGCCGAATTTCGGCTTCAAAATCGCCCAAGCCTGTCTTGAGCCCCAACAGTCTTCAATTTCTGAGGCTGTGGGGTGTTAGGGTTTGGGGCTGTAGGGTTTAGAGACGTTTAGAGTCTAGAGGGGTTCAGGTTCCTAACTTACTGCTTAGGCTCTAAGCCCCTAAGCCTTGAAGAAAGGTCCAGAGGGGTTCAGGTTCCTAACTTACTGCTTATAGGCTCTAAGCATCTAAGCCTTGAGGAAAGGTCGTAATGCTCTACCGTCAACCAAACACATGAGACAACGAATGCCTTGCCGTGTACTTCGGGGGTCTTCTTAAAGCTGAATGATGCCCATCGCCTCCTTTGTAGTTCCTTTTTTTGGTTAACCAGTTCTACGGTTAGGACCCTATGATAGGGATTTTGGTTACCCAAAAAAAGGAGCTACAATGGAGACTACAGAAAGTTCATAGCGGGGGGCCTCCATTGCTCCATGCGGCAGAAAGGCTTCCACGGACCTGCAGACGTACTTCAGTGTGTCCTCCCCGCGGAAGCAGCAGGAACCCCCGGCGCAGGAGCAGGGCTTTTGGGGTTCCTTGTGGTTTTGTTTTTTCAGGTTTCGGGGTGCCGGAGTTTAGGATTCGGGGTGTTAGGATTTGGGATTGGCTGGAATGTGGGAAAGTGGGGTTTTGCAGGTTTGGGGACGAAGCCTTGACGCACAGAGGAGCGCAAGACCTTTTGAAGCTTGGAGGAGTTGGGTTCTTCACGCGAAGTCATATGGCGGACTGTAGTGTTATTGTATGGATTTGTTGCGGGGCTGGGCGGTTTCTGTCAGAATTCAACACGAGTTGCCGGTTGAGGAATTGGTTTAGAAGCTCCTGCAGGGCTTTTCGGAGAATCTGCATGTGCTTGGTTCGTTTTTCCTGCAACGACAACGAGCTGTCGCCGAAGAAGCCCATCCAGGCATTCGGAATTCTGGCAGTCATGCATGCATTGCGTCTCTACTGCGTGTAGTTGGCTCAAGTTTGCGCAGGCACCCTCCGCTGCCCTCAACAAGCACCCCCGACTGCTGCCGGCATGCTGGTGACACTCCTGGCTCTGTGTCTTCAACTTGTTTCAGCTGCAGAGCCCAGCTGGGAAGTCGATGAAGGCCTGAATCGTGCATGCCGCCACACGTACACGTGGGACGTGTATGAGATCTACTTCGGAAAGCACTACTGCACGGAAACACTGGAGGACTGCAAGGCCCATTGCGAGCAGACTGCAGGGTGCAAGGGTGTGGAGTTTTCGCCAGATTGGTCTTGGGCCAATCTGGGCCCGGGTGGCCGCTGTGAAGTGTGGTTTGATGATATCAATGCCACGGTTGACTACTCAAGCAGCAGCTATAAAGTTACTTGCCTTCGCTACTACAACAACCCCACGCAGCCACAGGAGATCAACCTGACGTCCAGTGAGGGACTGCCAGGTGCATGCCGTGGCTCCTCAAGCAGCGACACCTCCACCTGCTACTACTCTGTGCACAGCACTCAGCCGTGGCAGCCGTCTTGGTACAAGAAGCCGAAGCTTACCTTGGAAGACTGCAAAAAGCGATGCAGTTTCCAAGCAGGTTGCACAGGTATTGAGTTCATGGAGGAGAAGGGCTACTGTGAGGTTTGGAAGGTTCCAATCAAAGCCGTGCAAAATGTTCCGGGCTACCGCTGCTATCCCCTTGAGCCGTTTGCTGCTGCCGAGGCCACGGTATACCCATAGTAGAACTATGAGTACGATGTGGCCTCATAGGTACTGTATTGTTTGAGTCAGCATCTATAGATGTTTGAATGTGCATCGGAGTCCACCGCATGATCGTCCAGTTCTTAGCATTTGCATCATCATACGCGGCATGCACAGATAGTGACAACATGCACGGGTGCACCTCCAATGCTAGAGTTTTGCTGCATATCTTGTACTTGGGTGGGCTGAAACCTGTCCCGCACTCCTATTTCAAGCTAATGGGATAGCGAGCCCACGGCGCCTGAAAGGCGAGCACAAGCAGGACATCATGAGACGTTTCGGACCTACGACATGTCATGCACCGAATACGTGTCGATGCTTCCATGTCGCGAGCTGGCGACTTCTGTCACATGTGTCCCTTGCCTTTTCGGTGCAAATTCAATCGTGCTGACCAGCAGCGTGCTGCAATGCTGTTGCTATAGACACCCTTCAGCAGCCAACCTGGCCAAATCTGGCCACGGGTAGCAGAACGTAGCTGGTCTTCCCTAATCGGCTTCCTGTGAAGGCGCATGGGGATCCCGGCACAACCTTTGCACTTGGGTGAAGCTAGTCAGTTGGATGCTTCTGTCGCTTCTTGACCACAAGATATCGCCGGGCATGGTGGGATCCTGCATGATCTTTTTAGCATCAGCTGAACCCGAATGTGCTTACAACAGTGCTTCGCCTGTTGTAGCACCGCTGAAGGTCACGGAACTGAGACAAAAGCTGCTGGTGATGGCGTTCCGCAAGAACAATAGCGACGGCTGTCATGGTTCTTGCGTTGTTACTGTAGTCGTCAGAAGACTAATGCTGGCAATACTCGTACCCAGTAAACCAGGACCCTCCATGTACCCTTAAATAGAGGTATATGGCCCCAAATAATGGGCATTTAGGGTCTAATAGAGCGTAGATGGAGGGTCTAGGAAGTGAGCCTGCAGAGACCAAGTCACGTCACGGAGGCATTCGTGTATGCAGCGGGGGGGGGGGCCAATGCTCAAGCTCTTACAGACAGCACGCGTAAGTGCCGAAACAATCAAAGCATGCAGAGCCTGGGAAAGAACCCAAACCCGAAGCCCCGAGGCCCTGAAGCCCAGAGCCTAAACCAGAAACGCCAAGCCGAAAAGGAGTCGAATGCAGTGGTGGGGACCTCGGCGCTTCTCTTGTCAAGTCGGGTTTAGGGTTCATCGGGCTCGGGATTTAGAACTTAGGGCCCAGGGTCTAGGCAGGGATGGCGAGAAAGGAGTCTTTTGCGCTTTCTGCGGCTTCAGGGTGAGAGTGTCAAGCAGGTTTTTTGGGGTCTAGGGCCCAGGGCTAACAGGTTTAGGGCTTTGGGGGGGGGGGGGGGGCGGTTTAGGCTTTAAGGGTGTTTTGCTTCTGATATGGGGCCTTTGGTACAGGTGTCTGCGGTGGATCAACGACAAACGCAAGGATTTGTAAATTTCAATCAAATCCAACATACACAACTGGATCAAGGTTTAGGGTCTATGCTAAACGGCTTTGGGGTGAGAAGTTTTAGGCTTTGATGTAAGGGTTTAGGTCAGCTACAGCACCGGCTAGAGCACCCGGCCTTAATGTGAGAGTAGGGTGTGAGTGTACAAGCACCATTATCAACCATGCAAGCTTGTGTGTTATGCATTGAGTTCTTGATGTACCCCAACCTACCAGAACCTGTTTTTGCCAAAATATGTCTTTCTTTGTAGGGTCCCTATATATTATATTCCGCATGAGGGCTTATGACAAGACCCCCCATATGCTCCGATATAGGTTCAAATCAATCGATCTATTGATTTTTAAGTCTTTTCAATCTTCTATTGAAAACAGACTTTTCGAGCTGAAAATCAATATCGGGAAAATGAGGATCTATTGATTTTAACCCACTTCCGCGATTGATTTTTCTATTGGTTCCACGCTTGATTTTTCTATTGATTTTTATGCTAGCCAAGAAAATTTCTATTGATTTTACAGGCGACCAAAAATGTCCTCTATATATATATATATATGTATATATATATATGTATATATATATATATGGCAGGTTTATAAGAGCCTGGAAAGGCAGGATGTTATTGTTCTTCCACACACTCGTTTTGAGGGTTGGATCCTTGGGGGCTGGATCAGGGGGGTTTGAAGGCCAAAACCAATTTCCTCAATAGTGCAGTTCAATATACCGATTTAAGGTTTCAAGCTGTTGTAGTATTAGCTTATTTATGTATTTTATTAGGAATTTCAGTGCCGGGGGCACGGCCGTTGACCAAAACATTTTAAAGCACACTGGGAAGCCAGCGTGAGGAAACCCTTTTTTGCCAAACATTTTTGCATTTGTCCAAGCCGGATGTATTGAGCGATGGTGTTCGCTTCTGTCCAAGCCGGATGTGTTGGAAGCTGAAACGTGGTCCTTTGTCACGTGCCACTGCTTGGTTGGCTTGGTTGCTTGGTTGGCTTGCTTGGCTTGCTTGGCTTGCTTGGCTTGGTTCGACTCGCCCTACCCATCCTGCACGCCCAAGCTCAGAGTGGTCTTAGAGACCGCTCCAGTCGGGCTCGGACCACGTGAGCAATGGGTCCTTGATCCGTGTGGGACAGCGTCGCTGGCCGGGCGCTGGGGATTTACTCTGTGTGCTGCTCGCCTGTCCAGCCAGGTGGTGTGTCCGCCGCGGGGTGAAATGCACACAGATTGCAGGGAAGGCCTCGCTACTATTAATAAATACTATGCCACGTACCCACACCACGGTCGAAGTATTAACTTCGATCACTGCTGCTTGCCGGCATGGCCCCGCATGGCATCTTATGCTGTGCCTCATTGACAGGTCTTCAGTAACCGGCGCGTTGCGCAGCGATTCCGGTGCACTCGATGACGAGCATGACCTGTCCTCTTGCGGGCCGGTATGCAAGGCAATCGGATTTCAGCGCTCCGCATAGGGCAAAGACGGCGCATACTCAGCAGGGTGACCCCATCTTGGCCGAATGGGGGTGGCATTTAAAGAAGTCTCCAGTCCGCATGACTGTCAGAGCACACTCGTGTTTGCAAAGACGCTGGGGAGGCCGTTACTGTGTCGGCATGGCATTGCTTGGCTTGGTTGATTCGATTCTGCAGTGGCATCAATTCTGGTAGCATCAATCAATTGTGGTAGTCAGCATGGCATTGCTTGGCTTGGTTGATTCGATGCTGCAGTGGCATCAATTCTGGTAGCATCAATCAATGTCAATGGTGGTAGTCAGCATGGCATTGCATGGCTTGATTGCTTCGATTGTTGCGGTGGCATCTGATTCGATTTTGCGGTGGCATCAATTCTGATACCATCAGTTCTGGTAGCAGCAACTGTGGTAGTCAGCATGGCATTGCTTGGCTTGGTTGATTCGATTTTGCAGTGGCATCAATTCTGGTAGCATCAGTTCTGGTAGCATCAACTTGTCAATTGTGGTAGTAACAATTGTGGTAGCGCTAATTGTGGTAGCATGATTTGCGGTAGTATAACTATTGTGGTAGCATCAATGGCAAGGTCTGCCTGGCATGTTTTGACAGAGCCGGGGGGGGGGCAGGGCTGGCATGAAATTTGCATTTTGCCAGGTGAAGTCGTTTCAGAAGGCATGTGAGTGATATTTGCGCGGAAGGCTCAGTGAGTGTGTGTGTGTGTGTGTGTGTCAGCTTGCTTGGTGATTGATTGTGAGCCCCTTGTAACCTAATGCTGCAGTTCTGGCTCAAGTGGTCTGCCTGGCATGTTTTGACAGAGCCGGGGGGGGGGCAGGGCTGGCATGAAATTTGCATTTTGCCAGGTGAAGTCGTTTCAGAAGGCATGTGAGTGATATTTGCGCGGAAGGCTCAGTGAGTGTGTGTGTGTGTGTGTCAGCTTGCTTGGTGATTGATTGTGAGCCCCTTGTAACCTAATGCTGCAGTTCTGGCTCAAGTTGTGCTATGTCGAGTGTGGCCCTCCAGCATCTCCCTGAGGAATTGTGTCTCGAGGAGCAGGGCCAGGATCTCCGGAAAGCACAGCAAGCAATCTACTTGCTCTATTTGCTCTGCCCGAGAAAGGCTGTTGATCTTGTGACACCTGCAGTACATTTCAGACAATTTCCAATTGAGAATAATTTGCTACCTGACATGTCATTGTTTCAATGCAACAACATTTGAGGAGAGCTTTCAAACGGGGAAGAGACGGCATCCAGAAACCAGAAGCCTGGATTCTGTCAGCCTGTAACAAGAACGTTAGAGAGCACTTTGGCAAAGATTGATGCAGCCCTTTTTTTTGGCGCTTAAACTTTCATCATTACAATTCCGTGTTCATTCGAGGCACAATCAAAGCTTGGGGATAGCATACAGCCAATTCGATGTCGGGAACTACGGCAGCAAGAAAGCCGCAGACGCCTCAACGAAAAGTTCCGGTGACTTGGGGCGGGGCAAAGAAGAAGACGACTCGGACGATTGGGGACGGTGGAGACCACGAACCGGCTATTGATGCTACTGATGACGATGTGAGCTCTATTGACAACCCGAGCTCTTCGACAGCTGCTTTCTGCTCCAACACTTCGAGGTCAGTTTTGGTGGGCGGCAAAACCTACGTTTGGCCGAAGAGAGTGGTGATCGTTGGTTATGGGGTTGCCGCCCATGGAAATCGTCCATCACCTCAGATGGCAGACTTGTTGGAGAGGTTGGACAAGGAAAGTAACTTTTCTAACAAATGGGAGGTTCGCTTGCAGGTGCAAATGCACGTGTCGAAGCTTCATGACATTTGTACATTTTTCATTCATTTCAGTTTCACTCAATTGACAATTGAGGGCAGTGACAGTGACAGTCATGGATGGAAGCCAAGGGAGGCCGAAGGAGGAAGGTTTGGCAGAGAATGTGGCCTATACCAGCATATCATGGAACAGGTGCCTGGTCGAACAGGTGTTGCTTCATGAATCGAGTTGTATAATAATTAATTTTAATTTTAATAAGAATTCACCCTAATGACCGAGGTGTATAGTCATCCCGCAGCGCTCAAGACGCTCCACTTCATCCTCAA